GTCCAGGGCCGGCCTGACTTTATGGGTTAAGTTGTCCCATAAAACCGGGTCCCCCAAGTGCAGGGGTGAACAAGAGGACCCCAACGCTCCACCCCAGCCAGACCCCTGGCCGACCCTTTGTGAAAGGGGGTGACCCTGAGCCCCCAGCTGAGAACCGACAGAGGGTTAGGGTCATCCTGAGTGCCAGGCGGGGGCCCTCTGAGACTCGCCCTTCATCACGCAATGCTGCTGCCTTGAGGACACAGAACACAGAAAACCAGTCGCTCCCCGTCCGAGTGACCGACTCACCATGGAGACAAAGCACCTGAGTGAGAGTCCGCGAAACCACAGGAGAAACAGCCCCAAGGGCCTCGGGACTCAGCAGGCGAAATCACCGAGTAACCGCGAGGGTTTATTTTGCTTAGAGAAACAAAAGACAAAGTTCAAAATATCTGAAGAGAACAGAAAACTTGTTAATTACCAAACACATCTGAGGGGCTTCCCTGGTGACTCAGCTGGTAAAGAACCCAACTGCTAATGCAGGAGACCTGGGTTCGATCCCTAGATCAGGAAGATGCTCTGGAGAAGGAAATGGCAAGCCACTCCAGTATCCTCGCCTGGAAAATCCCATGGACAGAGGAGCCTGGTGGGCTACCGTCCATGGGGTCGCAAAGAGTCGGACATGTCAGCATGAGCAAAACACATCTTGAGAAAGAATGAAACAGAGCCGGGGCAGGAAGAGGCGCACGGGGAGGATGAAACGGAGCCCCCAGAGGCGCGGAGGGGCGGGAAGGGGCGCACGGGGAGGATGAAACGGAGCCCCCAGAGGCGCGGAGGGGCGGGAAGAGGCGCACGGGGAGGATGAAACGGAGCCCCCAGAGGCGCGGAGGGGCGGGAAGGGGCGCACGGGGAGGATGAAACGGAGCCCCCAGAGGCGCGGAGGGGCGGGAAGGGGCGCACGGGGCTGGGCCTGGGCTCTGCTGCCCACGCCGGGCCCTACTGTCTGGGGGCCTCTGTGCAGGGCCCTATGCTGCGTCCGGGCTCCTCTCCCACCCCTGCCCTGAGGTGCTCATGGGGACATCTCTTTTCTCTGCAGGAGCCCAGGGGCCTGAACCAGCCGAGTCCTGCGTCCAGGGGTCCTTTTCCACCGGGATCCCAGCCGCGGAGTCTGTCCCAGAAACCCTCCAGCTCCCATCCCCGCTGCAGGGCCACAACCAGGACACATGGCCCCAGAAGCACCAGGACACCGTCCTCAGCCACCAGGAGCCCTGGACCGTGGAGTCCACGGTCATCAACATCCCCGGAGGGCTGGACGGCGAACTGGACGTCCAGCAGATGCCCTGCATGCTGGTGGGGATGCCGTCCGCCCAGGCACCCAAGAGCCTGCCTGCCATCAAGGGAGAGTGTGGGGAGGAGGGCATCCCAATTGTCAGAGAGGTGGGGGGCTGCACCTCCGTGAAGGACCCTGTGCCCAGCAGCCCCACCCCTGTTGCCATGATCACGATGCCGGAGGACCCGGAGCCTGGGGACAGGGCTCCTCAGCTCGTGTAGAGCCAGGGCGCGTGCCCCAGGTCCTCAGGGTGCCCCTCCCTCTGGCTGGCATTGCCCATGCCGCCCAGCCTGGCTTCCAGCTCGAGGAGGAAACCTGGGCCCCGCCGCCCACCTTCAGAGCCCCGCCCCCCGGCATCAAAAGGGAACAGAGCTGAAGGCCGCTGCTTCTGGCCACGCAGGAGGAGTCTCATGAACTCGCATCTCCCTCACTCCAGAAGCCGTATGTTAAAGACCCGCCTAGTTTTCTAAACATGTCTACACGTTATTCCAGAAAGAAAGCAGATTCAAGACGGGCTGGGTGCCATGTTTTTACTTTCGTTGATTATTAATGTTTTGAACTGTATGAATTTAAGTAGCTTTTTAAGAAAATTCTTTGGAAATCTTCAGTAAGTTTTATAGGAAATAATAAAAGTTAATTCTAATGGCAATGAACTTGAAATCAGTACTGGCAGCTGGCTTCTGGGCAGCGGTTTCTGTGGAGGGCTGGCAGCCGCCCCCGGCCCTCCTCCATGCTAGGCTCTGCAGCCTGGTGGGAGCCAGGCCCGGTCTGGGCCTCTGGAACAGGCTCCCCAGCCTGTCTCTGGGGGGAGCCCCCTGAATTGAGGTGTGACCCTCCAGGACCCTCTGGCTGAAACTAGAGGAAGAAGGTGAGCTTGGAGGTACATGGTGAGCACAAGAAGGGTGGGCTGCTTTGAAACAAGGCCTTGAGTCAAAAGCAGGCTTGTTGCAAGATTCCAGGACAAAGTCAGGGACTGCGGCAGAAACAGACTTAAATAAGATGGCCAAAGCTGAGGTTCTAGATTTCTGAGAGCTCTCGATTTCAAAGTTTAGGATCAATCAAAGCAAGTTCACAATCAAAGATCAAAGAAAACACCATTGTGAGTGGAAGTCAACAAACAACGAAGGTGGATTCAGGCCCCGGGAACTTGAAATTCATGATCAGAAACACAGAGTATTCAGTAGGGTGCATGAAATATGTAAATATACAACAATCACAAAAAATAAGCAACAAGTGGATTTTCTACATGATCAGAAGGACATGTAAAAGAGGTAGAATTTTCAGAAATAAATACACTTGTTAAAGTAAGTGAAATAATAAACACAGTTGAAGAAAGACTTATTAAACTGGAAGATAATCTGAGGAAATTACCCAGCAGAGGATGAGATGGACAGAGGAGGAGAGATGGGCAGAGAGGGAGGGCGGAAGGGGGTCTCCTGTGTCCAGCTGGAGGCCAGGGAGACAAGCACGTAGGGGGGCAAGCGTTACAAGGGCTGATGGTCCCTGAACTGACAGAGGACGTGAAAGTACAGTTACAGGAGGCATCACGTATCCCAAGCCGTGTGAACAGACACCCCCACCTAGAGATCCTGTGGAGAAGGGCAGAAAGGTAACACCAGGAGGGGTGGCATCACAGAGGGTGATAGAAGTAGCAGTCAGTGTGGAAGCATGGACCCAACAACACCAACCTGGGGCAAAGATGTCGGAGGGTCAGCACCGTAGGTCTGGCACAAGCAGAGGCGAGGAGGGATGGGTGGGCGGCGGGTCCCCAGACCTAAGGGGAAGCCCCCAGCCTCCTTGCTGAGCTGAAGCCAGGCTAGATTTTCTTAGAAGCAGAGTAAATAATGGGTCCCAGGTCCTGAAAATCTTATTAGAATAAAAATTACGGAATCATCTTAAACTATGAGAAATTTATACGGCTTTCTTAATAAGACTCTGTGCCCAAGTTTGTGATTGCAAGGGTAAACCTAAGTCAAAATACAGGTCTCCAAGGTAACCGTCAAGCACATGCTGGTGGTGGACGCCAGCCCTGCCCCAAACCCGCTGTGTGTCCTGGGTCAGCAGCTCAACCTCTCTGAATCCTGGGGCGCTGCCTTAAACTCAGGATGGTGATGAGGGCCATTCACACCAGGACCCCCGGGTGTGGTCCAGTGCTCTCCTGCCACTGTCGTGAGATTCTTCACAATCTGCAGCGAGTGTCCAGCCCCTGATGGGCCCTGGCTGGACGTCCACCCCAGGAGGCCTCTATGCGCAGGGCAGGGCCCCCATGGGCACAGAGCGGATGCTGGGCGTCCCCACACTGGGTCATCCTGAAGACATTCCTGCAAGGAGCTGGCTGTCCACCCTCCCCACACACCTCCCAGGGGAGGGGGCCCCGCCAGGCGCTGACCCGCAGCGAGCACACAGCAGCTCCGCCCGCAGAGGGGCCGCCCGCAGAGTCTGTCCAGGGCTCTGCGCTGAGGGCGCCCCCTTCCCTGGCCTGCACAGAGCTCCTTGCGATGAAGGGCAACTCTGCCTGAGCTGAGCAGCACCAGGAGCCCCAAAGCTCTGCCCCCTTCTCCAGCGAGATGGACGGGCCCCCACTGCTGCTTGAGTGGGGCCTGGACACAGCCCGCGGCCCACGAGCGGCTTCCCACCTGGGGAAGACTGCGTGGTCCAAGATGGAGCCACCCAGGCCTCCAAGTGTGTGAACGAGGATGAATTTCAACCAAGATGTCCTTCGGGATTTAAAATAAGGACCATGTTCACACCCAGCATATGGAGTTCGATGCAGCCTGAGAGCCCAACCCCTTCCTGCCCACAGCTGCCTCCCACCAAGGTGGTCCTTGGGGAGGGGGCCCAGGGTCCTGAGCCAAATTGTCACAGTCGAGACATGGGACACGGAACCTGCCCAGGACGCTGGGCCGGGGGCACTGGGATGCGGAGATGGTGCCCAGAGCTTAGCGCCCATCCCTGGGGGATGGCACAGATGGTGGTCTCTGCAGGCATACTTAGGGACTCGACAGGAGGGCACCCCATACAACCCGCATGGGCCCTAAATCCACTCATGTCCTGGTGCAAGATGCAGGGCAGAAACAGACATGGGGGAGGAGGCCACGTGAGAATGGAGGCCCAGGTTGGGCGATGCAGCCTGGAGCCAGGGACACCTGGCGGCCCAGAAGCCAGAGGAGGTAGGAAGGGCCCCAGAGCCATCGCAGGGAGCATGGCCACTGACACCCTGACTTTGGACTGTGAGGACTTCTGCTGTTTGAGCCGCCAGCCGTGGTCCTCTGCCCCACGGCCTTGAAAAACCAGCACAGCAAGGGCAGATGGTTCCATCCATGGGCCTCCACACGACTACAGTGCAGACCTGCTCCTGCCCACTCGAGCTGGGCTGTAATAACTGCAGGGTAGATGCGGATCATCCAGGTCTTGGCAGACGACCAAGGGCCAGGGGGCGATCATCCCCCACGGAGGATCAGTCCGGCAGCCATAGATGGAAGAACGGTCCCCTGATCCCGAACCAGGGCTGAGGGCTGCGGCTCCGGCAATTGTCGTTGGGGGGAGCACGTGTTGTGGGAGCCCACCCCGGCCCCCAGGCCCTGTCTCCGCTTCCCGAGGACTCTGTCCCTCAGAAGCTTCTCCCGAAGCCCGGCACCCGCCTCCCAGAGCAGTTGTACCTTTGCAAAATCACCAGGGTCACATTATGGCGTTAGCACAGGGTTTGAAAAATAGATTGAACACCTTAGTCTTTTGGCTAATACAACAATGGGGATACAATCCTGAGAACTGGTCTTCATGACTTGGCTTGCGTAGTTAAGAACAATGTGGGTGGCACTCAGGGCTGTGGGGGACTGGCGGGGCGCAGCCCAGTGTCAGGACCAAGGAAAGTCAGGACCAAGGTTCGCCAGGAACGGGCCTCGGGTGACTCCCTGCTCTTCGTGCTCTTTCAGGTCTAAGATTCTGGACTCACCTGGGCTCCGCAGTGTGAACCTTTGCAGAGGAATTAGAATTAGAAGCCTATCTTCGGCTGGTTTTGAGCAGAAGCAGAAACCAGAGGGCTAGAGGGAAAGGCCCAGGGCCCAGGGCCAGGTGGGGAGGGCAGGACACGTCTGCCTGCTGCGCTCCCTGGGGGGAACTGCGTCCTCTCACCTGTGGGGCCGCCTGTCGGTCACCCCTCCTCCAGCTCAGCACCCTAGCTTCCTCTGCTGCCTCCGTGGCCCCCTGGCCTGGTTGGAATCCCAGGTGAAGTCAGAAGCTGCTGCCACAATTCTGATTCAGGTGAGACTCAAGTCAAGTTGGGATGCGGGGGCTTTGCAGCCAGGATGGAGACAGGTCCTGGGGGCCGGGGTAGGGGGTGGCAGGTGTGTGTGAAGTGTGTGTGTAAGCCTGGCGTGGGGGTGGCTTTGCAGCTGGGAGGGGAGGAAGGGCCTGGGGTGGCTCCTTGGCCAGTCACAAGGTGGTGAAGCTGGAAATGACCTGAAGGCCACTCTTTCCCCGGAGGCTGGACATCCCGGCAGCCTGGGGCGGCTTCCTCCACTGGAGGGGGTCCTGGAGGGTCCACGGGAAGACCTCTGCACTCCAAGGCGTTGAACTCAACACTAGCACCTCCGTCACCTCAGTCCCAGAACCTCTGCTGAGCACTGCTGTCCAGGGCGGCGGGGGTGCCCGCCAGCCCACCACCTGGAGGGGAGAGGGAAGCAGGCGCTCAGAAGGAGGGAGACAGCGGAAGAGGCTCTGAGGTCTGCGCTTTCACACGGGCAGCCCGGGGCCCAGGCCGTCCGCAGCAAGACCGATCGCCTCCAGCTGGAATGGGGTTGCCCCCTGCACCCCCCTCAAAGCGGCCCAACTGCTCACGGCGCCCCAGTGCCCGGCCCAGACCCCTTCCCCGCCGACCCCAGCGAGGCGCTCACCGCACGCTCCCGCTGTCCCCTGGCTCTCGAGGGGAGCGGCGGCGCGAGAGCAGGCCGGGCACCGGGTCGCTCGCGGCCGAGTCGCGGAGGCGCTGCTGCTGCGGTCGCCGCATCTCTGAGGTAAGTGGCCGCGGAGCGCCGTCCCGGGGCGCGGGGCGCCTGCTCCTCCAGCCACCTGCACCCGCAGTTCGAGGCGCGCCCGCCGTTCCCCGCGCCCGGCCGCGCCCCTTCCCCGAGGCCCCGCGCCCCCCAGCTGCCGGCCCTCTGCTCGGCGCTCGGGCCCCAGCGGCTGCGTCCGGACGCGGGTCTGGGGACGGGCGGCGGGGCGCGGGGGGCGCGGGCTGGAGCGGCCGACGATGTAGAGGACGGGTTTGTAATCGGCCCTCGCTGGGGCGCCCCCGCCTTTCTGCCCGTCGGTGCGCAGAGGACAGAGGACGCCCCTTGCAGCCCCTTCCCCCTCCCCGTTCATCTGCATAAACACCGTTCACGCGCCCAGGCCCCGGGTGGCGGCTGCCAACGAGACGGCAGGAATTTAGGGCTTGGAGGCTTTGAAATGGAGCCAACTGTCACGCTGCACGAATTTCAGGGCCACAGAAAGGACCGTTTGCGTCCGCGGCCCAGAATGAGCGTGACCCTCTGGCGAGAACGCCGCCTCTGTGTCGGGCATTGCTGTGCCGTATCGGAGCAGGTGTGTGTCAGATCGACACTGTGCGATCCATAACCCGCCAGAGGGGGGTTATGTTTTCTTAGCGCATGTGGGCACAGAACCCGGCAATCTAGATAAAGAGGTTGGCGGCCAGTGTATGTTTTCCACACGCCCCTGGGGACCAGAGCCCCGCCCTAGAAGGAGGATCCAGAGAAACCCTTTATCTGCGGTTTCAGTTATGTAAATGAAGCCTGGAGAGGAGGTGGGAAGGGCCCTGGGTGCCTGCGGTGCTGACGGGCGTTGTGTTCTCTGAAGATGAGACACCTTTTAGGATAAGCTGGCTGTGCTGTCACCCATGTGTATTTATTGGCTAATTCGTCTGACGTTTATGAATGATAAAAGACTAGCTTCCCAGGCCCCCAGCACACATCCTAGGGCTCCTCATGGCCAGTCTCTCAGGGAGGGGTGCTGGCAGGGCCTCCCCAGAGCCTGGGAGGTGGTCAGTGAACCCTGACCCGAATTCCCAGTGCCCTGGGCCCACATCCGGGGATGGAGCGATGGGGTGGGGAGGGCGAGCTTGGAGCAGGCAGGAAACGGGGGTGGGGCGGGGCTGGGGGAGGGGTGCCTTGATGGGGCCTTCCTCTGGACTCCCGATCCCGGCTCTGGTACCAGCCCCGGTTCCCACCTCGCGGGTGGAATCCCAGGGCTTAGGGATAGCGAGGGGGCAAGGCAGCGCTGGTGAGTTTCCGGGAGTATCTGCCAAATGTGGCACACACGAGCGTTCGTGTTTTCTTGAAGAAAGGGCCCGTGGCCTCATGACTTTCAGAAGGATCTCTCAGAAAGGTGCCATCGTTTAACTATGACTTTAAAAAATTATTCTCCATCTTTCTGGAATGATGACATGAGCCAGACTAGAGGAAGCCGTGTGGGGCTGTGTTCCTATCGCCTCGGCGTTGTTTGCCTCATCTTTGCTAATCCTTTGAAGTCGCAATAAATAAACTGTTTTAACTACATACAAGGTTATAGATGCTCACTGTGGGAAATGTGCAAATCACAGGAGAATTTCGTAAAGAAAATTAAAATGGCTCATCACTGATTGAGGTTTAAGAGAAAGCCGTGAGCAGCCAAAGTGCCCTCCAGGGCCGCTTCCACGTGGCTCCCTTCCCCGGTGGGTAGAGGAGCCGTTCCCTGCAGAAGAGGCTGAGAATTAAACGCTTCCTCGGGGAGAGGCTTGCTGACTTAGTGCCAGGGCTATTTATAGCTGGTGATGTTGCTGGTGAGGCTGGAGGAGCACGTACAGAGATGCCATCCGGGGATGTGGGGGCCACGCGGCCCTGGTATCAGGTCCTCCTCGGGCCCCGTCTGGCGCCACTCCGGAGCCACTGCAGACCCAGGGTGCAGGGCACTGTGAGGAGCCCACCCGAGCTCACAAGCTGAAGACCAGGCAGACCCCGGGTGCAGGCAGGAGCGACCCACGTCCAGTCCCGGCCGCTCCATCGACAGGTGTTCTCAGGGCAGGAAGGAGCGGAGCCCGGGTGGGGCCTGTGGGGCCCTGGCGCGCTCGCTCACCATCCAGCCCCTCCTGGGAGAGCAGCTTCCTCTCTGGCTGTGAAGGTGGCCCCGGGGTCACAGTCCATGGATCCCCAGAGCTGGCACCCTCGAAGCCCAGCATCCTCGATGGGACCTTGGTGTCCCAGCTCAGCAGCGCCTCTGCAGAGGGCACTTCCTCTGTGGCATTCATGTGGCTGCTCCTGGGGTATGTCGCCAGGGGAGTGGGTCACCGGGGGGTGCATCACCAGGGGAGTGCATCAAGGACGTGCGGCGACATGCAGTGAAGCTCAACCGTGACGCAATGTGTCAGTGTCCAAAGGAAGGACCTTCTTTACTGAGAACGCGTAAACTGACTCCCACAGGGCGTGGATGCCGGTGCTCCGACTTTGGCACATATCTTCTGTGACATGGGGGGCGCTCATTCTCTCATTCACACCGCTTTCCCTCTTGCTAGATTTGTGGAAAGGAGGGACTGTCCTTCTCCAAGCCTAGAGGTTAAGAACACCCAGGCCCTCCCCCGCCCCTCTGCACGGCGTCCCTGAGTGCGCCCCATCCTGTCCCCTGTCCACCTGCCCAGCACAGCCTCCCTGCTCTGGGCCGAACTTCCCAGGTTCTCACCCTGTTGCACCCGTGTGTCAGGAGCCAGGTGCCCAGACCCAGGTGAGCTCTGGGAGGGCCCCGCCACGGGAACGTCACGAAGCCGGACGCCTCACACGCACTCTGCCTCTGGCTGCCGTGGTCACAGATCTGAGCCCGAGCATCCCAGGAGCAGGTTAGGACTCATTCTGCAGCCCTAGGCCCACGGACCCCAGTCTCCTGCAGGGGCCGTGGTCATCCCCACCGTGTTCCCAGGGAGGGACTCTGCCTCCTGCTGGCTTTCCTGCCTGAGCCTGCCCCCCCCACCCCCTGGGCCCTGCCGGCTGGGCTAACCTCTGGGCTCAGAGCACGTGCTCTTGCACTGTCAGCGTGCGTCCGATCTGTGAACATGCCCCCGCCGTCTGCTTCTCTGCTGCACCCCATGAGCCCAGGGTTGCTTCTGATTTCTGGCTCCCGTGAGCGTGGCCACCAGGAGCCTCCCTGCTCTGCTCCTCGGGGGACAGGTGAGCGTCTGCAGGGCCCAGGCACCGCCTCCCAGTCTCAGCCCCAGCACCAGCAGCAGCAGCGCTGGCAGGCCATGGCCCCCTGCAGGGCTCGCGTCAGAGCTTGCGCTTCAGGCCACGGTGATGGGCCCAGCGTCCCCGCTGGGGCCTGGTGCCCGAGCCACTCCCGTGCCTTGCGCATTCCTCCGGAGTTGTCTGCTTCGGATTGATCCACAGGGCACTTCCTAGATTCTGGAGACCAGCAGCGTAGGTCGCACATAGGAGAGACCTTGTCTACCCCACAGCCCCCTTTCCACTGCCTAAGTGATACTTTTGGAGGAGCAGAAGTTCCACATTTTAATCTGGGGCCATTTCAGAATCTCCTGCTTTGGGGACAGTGGTTTTGTGTACTGTGTACAGTCTTTCCCACACAAGGACATCGGATGCTCTTGAACATCACCCACCTGGGGCTTAATGGCCTTGCCTCCTGCTGCAGTCGGCATCTGAATTAATTCTCATTTCTCTCCATGTGTCCAGTCAGTAAGCCTGTCTCCTTTCTCGGAAAATATTTTCTTCCCTCTTTTTCTGCAGGACCACCTTGCCGTCCACACTATCTCCGCTTGTGGGTGGGTGGGGAGCTTTCTTCTGCCCCGTGGTTTATTCTCTGTCCTAGACCAGGACCACACACCACTTCATTTCCAGACCTTCCCATCAAGTCTCAAAACCGCTGGGCAAATCCTCCACCTGTTCTTCCTCCAAGATGGCTAGTTAATTCATGATCCTTTGTTGTTTCGTTTGCTTTGCATTCAGCTTGTCTCACAACCCAGACCAAAAAAAAAAAAGTGTTGGAATTTTTGATTGGATTAAATTAAAACTGTGGGTGAATTCGGGGATAATGGGCATCTTTGTGCACTCAGACTTAATCCATGTTCATGATGTCACTGTTCTTCCAGTGACACTTCACAGTTTCTGTGTCGGTGGCCCTTGCACAGCTCCTGTTACATTGATCCTCAGGCAATCGGTATTTCCTCACATCACTTTAAATGATGTGTTTCTAAAGACTGCTATTGTCTGGTTTTGCTGCTTCATGGAAATAAAATAGGTTTTTGTATGTTGACCATGTAGGCAGAAATCTTGATAAACTCACATTGATTCTAAAAGTTTTCCCAGGATCCCTTTGGACGTTGTGTGTACACAATCATAGAAACTGCAAACAGTGACATTTTATTTCTTCCTCTCTGTGTTCATGCCGCTTCTCTCCTTGTCTCACTACACTGAACAGAGGTGAACAGATGTGGTGATAGCAGGCATCCTCCCCTTACTCCAGCTTGAAAAGAAAAAATTCTCAGTGTTCACGTGTTTTTATAGTTTTTTGTAGGTACCTATTATCAAGGGCTTCCCTGGTGGCTCAGATGATGAAGAATCCGCCTGCAATGCAGGAGACCCGTTTGATCCATGGGTGGGGAAGATCCCCTGGAGAAGGGCATGGCAGCCCACTCCAGTCTCCTTGCCTGGAGGATCCCGTGGACAGAGGAGTCTGGCGAGCTGCAGTCCGTGGGACTGTAAGGAGTAGCACATGATTGAGCAAGTAACACAGCACCACCCGTTATGGAGTTGAGAAATGTGTTTCCTCTTCTAATTTGCTAAGAATTTTTATGGTGAATAAATGCTAAATTCCATCAAATGATTTTCATCTGTGTGTACACCATGTGTTGGTCCCTCAGTCCTGTCCCAGTCCTTGCGATCCCGTGGACTGCAGCCCACCAGGCTCCTCTGTCCATGTGATGCTGCAGGCAAGAATACTGGAGTGGGCTGCCATGCCCTTCTCCGGGGATCTTCCCAGC